GGGTGGTCTTGAGTTATAGATTCTAGGTGCTGACTCTGTATAGAATTTCATCTACTTTACAGTTTTACCATTATTTGTCTTTGAACTAGTATTTTCCATTTGGTCGTATGACTCTTGACGTGGTTCGGTTTATCATATATGAGCATCCAGCTTTAATTTTTTTGGCTTTTGGCGTTCCTTATGCGGATGGGACCAGACATGCTATTTGGACATATGAGGTTTTTATTGTGTAGTTTTCATTTTGTATAGTTCCCTTGTATTTATATTTTACTTATTTTGTATTTCATCAGGAAACTGTATATATGTCATTATGCTTACTACGTTGACTGTATCATCAATCACAAAACGTTGTAGGCGTCTTTTTTTTTGTATTTAATTGTAAGTATGTTTGAATGTTTAATTCAGTCTGCTATGTATGTTTACACAGTTTTTGGCTGTTGGATCCCAGTTATGGCAAAGTTAACCAATTATGTCTGTTTAGGTTGCTCACCACATTTCAATTGGCAATACTACGGAACATTAATCAACTGCCATACAAGTGGGCGTTTTAGCTAGCTAGAAAACCATGTTTAACCAACCATTTTCTTAGGAAAATGCCTGTGCCAAGTCAGGAATATGACACGCAGTTGTTTTCCTGCGGGTTTTTTTTTTAAACAAATGTTTTTTTTAACAATTTTTACAAAAATCAACAAGGATCTTCGTTTTATAGATATGACTACATCAGAAAAAATAATGAAAATCAGATGAGACAATCTTAACTTTTCATACGACATAAAACTTATGCAGGACGGACAGACGGACTTGTAGTGTTATGAGGCATTGAACTAGTCGGTGTGGTATTATCAAATAGCATTAAACAATTATAACCCTATTCACAAATAAAAGTGAAGCGAAATATATAAGTCATGCAAATCCAATATTTTGCGATAACAATTACAAATATATATTATCATGTGTTTAAAACATGATATGGTCGTTTTCGTGGATTTTTGCAATAACAAATTAGCGCAACAAAACTTTCACGATCCCTTTCACGGTCATCAGAAAGCCGTATCCGATCTTTTACGATCCAAAATAACAATTTTTTACAAATATTCCCATGTTTGCAAAGATTCTGATTAAACTCAGACTAAATAACTTTAAAAACCATTTTAAACAGTAATATGGAACGATATTTTTAAGAGAATGTAGTTTATGCAATCAAAATATAAAAAAACCAGGTTTTTTTTACATTTTTTCATTTCTTTGATATTTCGAGGAGCATTCTGCCTTTTGTAGTTTTGTAAAAACGATGTACCTCGGATACTGATAAAAATGTTGAACCATTTTGACAAACAGTCTAATTTTTCCTATATTTGTCATTTTTTTCATCAAATTAGATTATTTACTGACGTTACATGTGTCTTCTCGTTAAGACGATTGGATGTTGGATGTGTGCTGATTAAAATTTTAGTCTTAGATACATGATGTTTTCATTAGTTTGTTATTGGCTTTGAACTGGCTTTCAGTAACTGCGAGTACCTGTTCAGATCTGTACCTTGTGTCTTTTGTGTTTTTGATGATTGTTTTTTGTGATTTGTATTGATCTGATGAGTTAATAAGCCCTTTCAACTGCTTTTTATAGTTTGTCCCAATGTTGTGCTGCTACACCGCTGTCCCAGGTAAGGGGAGGGTTGTGCGCCCGCAAATATATTTAACCCCGCCACATGCTGTATTTGCCTGTCCCAATCCTGGATCCTGTAATTCAGTATTTTTCGTTTGTTTCTGTATAATATATAATTGTTTTGTACATAAATCAGACTGTTAGTTTTCTCGTTTGTACATTGAATTGTTTAACATTTGTCATTTCGGAGACTTTTATAGCTTGCTTTGCGGTATTGGTTTTACTCATTGTTGAAGGCCGTTCGGTGACATATAGTTGCTTACTTCAACGTCATTTTTTACTCTAGTGGAGGGTTGTGTGACATTTCAACGGATTTAATAAAATGAATAATTTAACTTAAACAATATTTACTAATGGAAACAATAGAAAGTTTTATATTTATTGTATAATTTTGTCACAGGAAGGATGGATATGTAAATTTTGATTTGTGTCTGCAGCATTCATTCTAATTTTGAAGAGCTCTTTATAAAATGAGAGATTTGTGTTTTGTGAGAGAAATAAAAATTTGAAATAATCGTAAATTCTGAGACGATCTTTTGAAATATTGTAGCAAAACTTTTTTTTCCCTTGTCATATACGAAATAAAATGATATATTATTTTCGGAATAATCTAATTGAATTATTTTCTAATATTACTCTAACTTTCTCCCCTATCCATTTTTTTAAAACTTTTTTCGGCTTGTGTACCAAACTTTTCGTCCTGGTCAGATGCGTCCAGTTAGCGATGACGTCATAAGTAAAACATACGGCATTAACACCAAAGACTGCCCTTTCTGGGATAACCTCTTTTTAAAAAAAAACAGTTTTAACAAAGACGAGAATAGCATTAAAATAACGTTGGTCGTATGTTGCGGTGTTACTTGTCCACACCAGCAAAATCGGTACAATTAGTTACAAAATGAAAAAAAAGTATTGATTTTAAGGCATATTCCATTTCTACTTTTAATAACGCAAATTTATATATATATATTAATATAGCTATCAATTCCAACCTTCGAACAAATACAATAAAAGCGAACTGCATGGAAAGCAAAACCCGTATTATCACCAACACCGTAAGCGACGTCTGACATGCAAAGCGACAGTGGACGTTTTGTGCAAGTATAATGAACATTTCACTAATTAAAAAATATTACAAATCAAGAGAAGATGTATTGGTCAACAAAATGCTAGTCGACTTAGAATCAAATAATCTCAGCCCTGAAGAACAAGCTAGCGGATAGTATTTCTGTACAAAGTAGTCGAGGGTTTGGTCCCAGTTATAAATCCTGAGAAATTAAAAGAAAACTGCCGAAACGGATCATGAAGCCTAGACCTTTTGTGCAAATATAATGAACATTTCATTAATTAAAAGAACAATTAAAAGATATTTGATATCCCTCCGTATATTGCTGAGCAATACAAGATCTCATTTTCCGTTAAACTATGATTCAAGGGAACCTGTAGTAAAAAGATATAGTGTGCGCTAAGTCAGTGGACAGCGGAAGTTCAAATCGATTAGCACTCCAACACAGTCAATGGAGACAATAGATGGCGCTCCTCTTTCGAAATAAATATCGTTTTTGGAATAAATGAATGTCAACGTGCGACATGCACGATTTTCCCCACTATTGCCTCCTTTTCCTTGAACCCTGGAACCGTCCCTGCTAGGTGCTCCCTCTCCCGTCTCATGAAAACCGGATTGGTTTCTTCAACGTACAGATAACCATAAATAAATAATAATGATAATAATAATAAATAAGCTTTATAAAAAATGTCGACATGGTTTATAAAACAAAGGCATTACGTAAGCTGTATTGAGCTTTTGACAGACATACAAGGCATAACAATACAAACTAACAAGCAACAAGTTAAATAAAACATACGAAGCACTAAATCTAGCATATAATGTATAAGCATGACAAGCTAGGTGTTAAAGCAAAAGCAAATACAAAATGTTAGGTATAATCAACTAAAAAAGCTGGTAAAGATAGAAATTGTCTAAATTTGTAAAAAAAAATAACAAAAATATATTAATAGTCTGCGCAAACTGTCCACTTACAGTCAATACCCTTCCATGACTTTAAAATAATTTTAAACTGACTGAAATTAACATTTTTTTTCATAAATCATCAGGTAGATCATTCCATAAAACAGCAGCTGTATATTTATAAAAAAGTTCGAACCATAACCGTAGGTATACCTACATGATAGAATATTTAATTTATTTTAAAATTTTGACGCGAGGAAGCAACTTGCCAATGCGGTTTAGAACATACAGTGGTCGAGATGCTTTACGACAAACTATATTTTTAAAATGCGGTAACTAAAATTAAGTTGATAATCATGCAATATCAATACCTACATTGCCCCAAATCCTTTATAACTGTTAGATAGTTATATATAGTTATATATATGTGTATTTTTAAAATGTATATCTAAGAGGATCTTGATTGGGTACTTAATTTCTGTTTTCTTTAATATTTTATTTCATTTTTCTCTATTCTTTATAATTTGTGCCATTTATCCTATATTCTTTATATTTTATCACCCCATTATTCTATATTCTTTTTTTTCCCTATTTTTCTCTTTTCTTCGTTTTGTTGGTCCGTTTTCTGCCGGTAGATGCGGCCCATTATACTCTATTCTGAAAGCCTCCAGAGACCCTCATCTAATGTATTTTGTGAAATTTTGCTAAGATCTGCTAACTATCTTGACTTGAAATTTCGATATGAAATCAATAAGATATCTTAATCTTTAATCTTTACCTATCTGTTAATTCTAAATTTAATTAATTGTTTTAAGAATATACTCATTAGAGATATCAGGATTAAAATTGTGTACGCCAGACGCACGAAAATGTTTAATCTAGTGATACCCATTGTGTTGGTGTCATATTAGATATGGAACAACATGACTCCTTGTGGTCGCTGTGATTAATGATTAATTAGCAAAAAACTGTATAATCTGTACATGTATCTGTGTGATGGGTAAAAAAAAATAAAGAACAGAGACATATATGTGTATATATGTCTCTGTAAAGAATAAGGGAGAAATGCGTTCAAATATAAAGAATAGAGATAATGGAGTGTTAAAATCAACAAAATAGAGAGTTACTGACTAAAAATGTAGAGAATAGAGACCTGAAAGGTTATAGAGTTCAGAAATGAAGACCCCCCCCCCCAAAAAAAAAAAAAAATTTAGAACGTCATGTAACCCTTTTAGCTCTCTTTTTATTGTTATCTGTACTAGAGAATGAGATATCATAGATAGCTACTTCGTCCTCGTTCAAAGATAACACATATAGCCTTCCGACGAGGAAACAATACACCACGCGTGATATTTGTGTGGAATCGTTAAAAAAAATATCTGGGTCAGGGATGACTGATCATGAGCTCTCTATTACCAAAAACAGGAAGTCGTGCCAGGGTAAACAAGGGGAAGGTCATTAGAGCTTGTCGTGTTGAGAAGTACAAATAAAATTTATCAGGTGAGTGAAACGTAATTTTTTTTTAATTTAAGGTAAGTGGCATTGCACAGCGACCAGAATTACCACGTTTACAGATCAAGTCCATGACAGGTAAATGCCAGGTTCAGTATGAGAAAAACATCTATTTATACATTTGTAAATAAAAAGTGGGCGATATTTTAGTTTATTTAATTAATGTTGTTTATTTGGGGACTCCGTAGTTTTTTGGTCCTGTATTTCGGATTTGTACGTACCATATTCTATTATTTGCACTTTACCAAGAAAAAACCAAAGGGCCAAGTGAGCTTTTCTCATCACTTGGCGTCCGTCGTCGTCCGTTAACTTAAAAAAAATCTTCTCCTCAAAAGCTATTGGGCCAAATTTAACCAAACATAGCCACAATCATCATTGGGGAATCTTGTTTAAAAGATGTGTCCGATGACCCCGCTTGCCAACCAACATTGCCACCATGGCTAAAAATAGAACACAGGGGGTAAAATGCATGTTTTGTCTATAATCTTGAAAGCCGCTCTAGTTAAGAAAATCTGACATGGGCAGAGATGTGTTGAGATCTACCTATCGCCTATTTACATCAAAACTGTCAAGACGACTTCTTATAGGAGTTATTGCCCATAAATGGTGATTTTTACCAATTTTTTAGGGTTTTGCCTTATATCTTTAAATTATAATAGATAGTCAGACACTTAAATAAGCAAAACTTAACAGCAAGACATGATCTAAAATTGAGTAATACAACTTATATGGAGGAATTTGTCGGACGACTCCTTATTAAAGTTTTGCCCTTTGATGACGATTTTTACAATTTTTTGTGTTTCTGCCTTATATCTTAAAAGTTATAATAGATAGATATAAACTTAAATAAGCAAAACTGATCAGCAAGACAAGATCTACTTGAAAGTCAAAATGGACGAAATTGTCCGACAACTCCTGGTTGGAATTATTGGTCTTTGATGACAATTTTTACCAATTTGTTTGCGTTTTGCCTTATATCTTAAAATTTTTAATAGATTATAGAAACTCAAAGAAGCAAAAATGATCAGCAAGACAAGATCTACTTGAAAGTCAAAATGGACGAAATTGTCCGACAACTCCTTGTTGGAGTTATTGCTCTTTAATGATGATATTTACCATTTTTTTTTGCGTTTTTGCCTACTATCTTGACAACTACGAAAGAAGATGCACATTGACCTAGGTGAGCGACACATGCTCTTAAGAGCCTTTAGTTTTGTTATGTGAATTTCTCACTTATTATGAGAATTAGGATAACTATATTTGGTATATGGGTTCCTTGCAAGGTCTACATGTCCGTCAGACAGGGTTCACTTGACCTCGACTTTATTTCATGGATCAGTGATCAAGGTTAAAGTTACAGGATTATGTCTGTTTCTCAGATACTGTAAGCAGCAAGTCGACTATATTTGGTGCTTGGAATGATTATAAGGTGTACATGTCTGTCTTGCAGGTGTCATCTGTCCTTGACCTCAATTTCATGGTTCATTGGTCAGTGTTAAGTTTCTGTTGTAAGGTCCTTTTCAAAAGTACTTTAAGTAATAGATCAACTAAATTTGGTATATGGAATGATTGTAAGGTGAACATGTCTGTCTGGAAGGGTTCATCTGACCTTGACCTCTTTAGAAAGAAAATGTTATCATGGTTATTATTTAGAACGTTCAACATAGAAATAATTGAAAAGTAATGCAGGTGAGACATTTCCAGCGTGTGCACTTTTGTTGAGGTTTATAGGTAAAAAAAATCAGAGACAAGTGCCTGCGACCCTTAGGTGTATGTGTAGACTCTTAAGTTGTGGTAGAACTTAGTGTTTGGAATCAGCTGGAAAGTTATGATCCATTTAAATTAGACAGACCTGCCCCAATTTGCTTGATTTGATTTTGGATAATAATCAGTTTTAATTTTTTATGCAAATAATGTACGAATCAGTAACACACTTTTCCATATGCAAAACCTGTGCACGACATGTATAGTTTTGTTGTAGAATTACACAAACCTACAGATCTATTTATAAATACAGAGTACATGTACATGTACTGCACTGCTAAAAGCTATATATGTACAAAATGAATACTTTAAATGGATACTTTATAAGTGTTTAACCGATAATGGCATTCCTTAAATTTACAAAAGGTGACTAAAGGCTTCCGTAAAAAAAATTACATTATATAGAATTTTATTAACTAACATTAATATCTATTATCTAGATTATGAATAACTGAAAATAATGATTGATTAATAAAAAAAAATTATAATTCATTATTGATTACTTAAACATGAAAACAAATTTCAATAATCAATTGATTAGAATATATAGTCGATTTTCAGAACATCACTAGTACAACTATAAAAACCTGTTTTTGATTTTTGTATACCTTTATCATGCTACATGTAGGAGAGAGGACTATCATGATTAAACCTACACACAATATTTCAGTTATTGCATTTTACCCAGAAAAATTTGACATCACAAAGCAAATATCTACACCTCGCAATGTCCTGTGTCGAATGCATTTTCCGCAAAAAAACCTCAGGCAACTGGGGCAGTTCATTCATAATGCGAAAATTGGAAACTCCTCTATTGCAATCACATTGTCCCTGCATTCATCCAACACATATTTTCATCACACTTTTATTAGAAACTACTTAACATTAAAATAGAATGCATATTTGGTCAGCAGCTTGACAGTGATGAGTTGTAACATGTGAGCCCTTTTCAGATCTGTCGGGTGACAGGCACTTGTCTCCCAAATTTTTGTGCTTTTATACCTCAATGTTATATTATACACCTATTGACTGGTTATGAGGGTAATAGCAAGTTTGTTGTCCCTGAGATACTAACTATTGCTCGAGGCGAAGCCTAGGGCAATAGTTAGTTTCAAACGGACAACAAACTTGCTAAATTACACTCATAACCAGTCAGTAAGTGTTTTATTATACCGAACAAAACAACATTCTAAAAAGACTACATATACCACTTTGAAAAAGAATCCAAATAGTCACATAAACATGCACAAGGTGAACTATCAGGTTTTTATACGACCGCAAAAAATTTTTGCGGTCGTATATTGGTATGACGTTGGCGTCGTCGTCGTCGTCGTCGTCTGGCGTCGTCCGAAGACACATTGGTTTTCGCACTCTAACTTTAGTTTAAGTGAATGGTTCTCTATGAAATTTTACCATAAGGTTCAATACCACAAAAGGAAGATTGGGATTGATTTTGGGGGTTATGGTACCAACAGTTAAGGAATTAGGGGCCAAAAATAAGCATTTTTGTAACTTCCAGACATAACTTGTGTCTTAGTGTATGGATCTCTCTGACATTGTACCACAAGGTTCCATATCACACAGGGAATGCTGGGATTAATTTTGGGGGTAATTGCCTCAAAATATTAGGAATTAGGGGCAAAAAAAGGGGCAAAAAACAAGCATTTTTCTAGTTTCATGACAATAACTTGTGTGTAAGTGTATGGATCTTTCTGAAATTGTACTACAAGGTTCCATATCACAAAGGGAAAGCTGGAATTGAGTTTGGGGGTAATTGCCCAAAACGTTTAGGAATTAGGGGCCAAAAAGGGGCCAAAAATAAGCATTTTCTAGTTTCCAGACAATAACTTGTGTTCAAGTGTATGGATTGCTCTGAAATTGTACCACAAGGTTCCATATCACACAGGGAATGCTGGGATTGATTTTGGGGGTAATTGCCTCAAAATATTAGGAATTAGGGGCCCAAAAAGGGGCAAAAAACAAGCATTTTTCTAGTTTCAAGATAATAACTTGTGTGTAAGTGTATGGATCTTTCTGAAATTGTACTACAAGGTTCCATATCACAAAGGGAAAGCTGGAATTGAGTTTGGGGGTAATTGCCCAAAACGTTTAGGAATAAGGGGCCAAAAAGGGGCCAAAAATAAGCATTTTTCTAGTTTCCAGACAATAACTTGTGTTCAAGTGTATGGATCTCTCTGAAATTGTACTGCAAGGTACCATACCACAAAGGGAAGGCTGGGATTGAGTTTGGGAGTGATGAATCATAAGGGGGTTCAAAAAATTTGGGGGGGGGGGGGGGGGTTTCCTTTTTTTTTTCTTTTAAAATTTCCATTTTAAGTTGGTTATTTCTGTTTTATATTTAAAAGCAAATAATAATGATATGGTAGGAGATACACACCAAACAGGATGTGTAAATTATTTAAGTATTGTGCAATAGCAAGAAATTTTCAATTGCACAGTATTGCACAATAGCAAGAAATCTTCAGTTGCACAGTATTGCGCAATAGCAAGAAATCTTCCATTGCACAGTATTGTGCAATAGCAAGAAATATCCAATAGCACAATATTGCGCAATAGCAAGAAATTGTCAATTGTACAGTATTGCGCAATAGCAAGAAATATTCAATTGCACAGTATTGTGCAAAAGAAGATACTTCGTATAAATTGCTTATTTCTTGACCAATTTCAATGGGGTTTTATTCTTGAATTCTTGGGGTTCTTTAATATGCTGATTCTAACCGTGTATTAAGTTTTTGGATTTTGGGCCCTGTTTTTAAATTGGTCCACAATGAGGTCCAAAGGGTCCAAAATTAAACGTTGTTTGATTTCATCAAAAATTGAATTATTGGGGTTCTTTGATATGCCGAATCTAACCGTGTATTTAGATTCTTAATTTTTGGTTCTGTTTTCAAATTGGTCTACATTAAGGTCCAAAGGGTCCAAAATTAAACTTAGTTTGATTTTAACAAAAACTGAATTCTTAGGGTTCTTTGATATGCTGAATCTAAACATGTATTTAGATTTTTGATTATGGGCCCAGTTTTCAAGTTGGTCCAAATCGGGGTCCAAAATTAAACTTTGTTTGATTTCAAGAAAAATTGAATATATGGGGTTCTTTGATATGCTGAATCTAACCATGTATTTAGATTTTTGATTTTTGGGCCCCATTATCAACTTTGTCCACATTGAGGTCAAAAGGGTCCAAAATTAAACTTTGTTTGATTTCATCAAAAATTGAATTCTTGGGGTTCTTTGATATGCTGAATCTAACCATGTATTTAGATTTTGGATATTGGACCATAATAGTTGAATGTCCAATTTAAAATTTTTAAGTTCTTAGGCCACATTCATTCTGTGTCAGAAACCTATGCTGTGTCAAATATTTAATCACAATCCAAATTCAGAGCTGTATCAAGCTTGAATGTTGTGTCCATACTTGCCCCAACTGTTCAGGGTTCGACCTCTGCGGTCGTATCAAGCTGCGCCCTGTGGAGCATTTTATTTTGTTTGCTCGTGTGGTATTTGTCAATATTTTATTTACTGTAATCAAGACCAGGAATCCTTTTGTAAAAATTCTCGTGCATATAATAAGTGCATATAATAAACGCTAGCTATCATATACATTGTATTACCGTAAGCAATTCCTGATTATGAAGATGACGACACCCCCGTACCATACATTTGTTATGTTTTAGTTTCTTAAAATATGTCACATAGATTTTCTTTTTCTTTTTTAATTGCTTCTGGTAAGTAATATATTAATTTGAAATTATGACGACAGACACATACAGATTATACTGTTTATGATATTTCAGAGTTTAACGTTGCCAAGCGCACAAATCCAAGCAGAATAGTCAATGACGTCATTGTTGTCCAATGAAAAATTAGTATGAAAAAGTACAGGAAATATGTTTATAAAACTATTGACCGGGGTAATAGTCTTTGAAACTATTGACTGACAAATATTCTGTAGAATGAAATAGCACAAATATTTCATTCTTTTTTATATGGAAAAAACATAAGTGCAGAATGGGTATGGATTTTTATTGAATGTAGGGGATCATACTTCTTGCGATTTGATCTGACACTATGTTGCAGAGTATGATATTAACAAATTGCTGCATTACTGAAATGACCCCTGCTGCTTTGTAACTGTTCAAAAAATTGTCTCAAGAGTGACAGAGAAACAACAGTTTGTCATTTTATGTAGTTTACACTCCTATAAATACCACAGTTGCTTAGTGCATGGAGACCCCTTTTTATTTTGGAGTTTGTTTTTTTAGTAAATATTCTTTAAATTTGTTTAACTTATTTTCACTTAATCAATGTGTACTAGCTTTTATCCATACACTATTACAATAACAGAGAACAGAGGGTCAAACTATAAAAACTAAATGTATTATTATCGTTATATGGTATCTGTGTCTTGTATATCCACTTTGTTTTGATGATTTTTCCATTTATCTATATTAAAACTTTATGTTCGATCAATACAATTGGTTTTTGTCGAGTCTTTTGTTGCAATATGCGAGACGTAGGTATTACTATCCGGCGGCGGCAGCGTAAACTATTTGTATAAAGCTTCATATTTCAGAAGGTAGAAGACCTTGCAATTGATGCTTTATATCTTGTATGCAGATACCTTATGTACGAAGTTTCTGTATGTCATATGTCCATTGTCCTTGACCTCATTTTCATGCATGATGGTTCAGCAACTGCTTGAAAAAAATTATAGTTTTTTTGTCATGTGAATTTCTCACTTATTATGAGTAATAGGATAACTATATATTTGGTATATATGGGTTCCTTGCAACGTCTACATGTCCACTAGACAGGGTTCACCTGACCTCAACCTTATTTCATGGATCAGTGATCAAGGTTAAAGTTACATGATTTATAAGTCCGTTTCTCAAATGCTATAAGCAGTAGCCTAGGTCAACTATATGTGGTGTATGGAATGATTGTAAGGTGTACATGTCTATCTGACAGGTATCATCTGACCTTGACCTCATTTTCATGGTTCATTTGTCAATGTTAAGTGTATGGAATAATTGTAAGGTGTACATGTCTGTCTGACAGGTATCATCGGACTTTGACCTCATTTTCATGGTTCATTGGTCAATGTTAAGTTTTTGTGTTTTGGTCTGTTTTTCAAATGCTAATAGTAATAGGTCAGCCATATTTTGTGTATGGAATGACCTTAAGGTGTACATGTCTGTCTGGCAGGTATAATCTGACCTTGACCCCATTTTCATGGTTCATTGGTCAATGTTAAGTTTTTGTGTTTTTGTCTGTTTTTCAATTACCATAAGCAATAGGTCAACTATATTTGGTATTTAAAAAAATGTAAGGTGTATATGTCTATCTGACAGAATTTATCTGACCTTGATCTCATTCTCATAGATCTTTAAAAATGTTAAGTTTATGTGATACTTTTACTAAAACCTTTATCTTTAAACAATATAAATCAATGGTCAGTAGAAAAGCAGGCGAGACATTTTGCCGTGTGCACTCTTGTTTTATGCATGCAAGCATTTCATGAATGGTTGTAACTTTTGATACTATGGCTTGTTTTATATATATGGACCATAATGGTGATTTTTTTTCTTGTAGTTTATACAATTCAGTGATTAGGTAAATTATATAAATAATATAACATCATGATCATGCTAGTCTTGTACACTGTTGTTCCTCTGTCTACTCTTGAGATAATTTTATTGCACAGTTACAAAGCAGCAGGGGACATATGCATTTCAGTTGTGCTGCAATCTTTTAAGTTGTTAAGTTTCCTACCTTTGAAGATGAACTAAAAAGTTGCTGATATGAACATTTATTATTAGGTCCCCGCCGAATGGCGGACACCTTATAGTGATCAGTCTGTCCGTCCGTTCGTCCGTCTGTCCTATGTATGTAACAAATTGTGTCCGCTCTATATCTAGAGAACCGTTATGATTTCAAAGTTTATACTTGACATGTATATTAACCAACACCAGAGGGTGTGTCATAATGTATGTACAGCTTCCTAGGTCAAAGGTCAAGGTCAAAAACTTTGGTTTCAGTTGACAACCCCATGTCCTATGGTAAAGATCGTGTCCACTCTATATCTTGAGAACCGTTATGATTTCAAAGTTTATACTTGACATGTATATTAACCAACACCAGAGGGTATGTCATAATGTATGTACAAATTCCTAGGTCAAAGGTCAAGGTCTAAAACTTTGGTTTTAGTTGACCACCCCATGTCCTATGGTAAAGATCATGATCGCTCTATATATTGAGAACCGTTATGATTTCAAAGTTTATACTTGACATGTATATTAACCAACACCAGAGGGTGTGTCATAATGTATGTACAACTTCCTAGGTCAAAGGTCAAGGTCAAAAACTTTGGTTTTAGTTGACAACCCCATGTCCTATGGTAAAGATTGTATCCGCTCTATATCTTGAGTACCCTTATGATTTCAAAGTTTATACTTGACATGTATATTAACCAACACCAGAGGGTGTGTCATAATGTACCGGGTATGTACAAATTTCTAGGTCAAATGTCAAGGTCAAAAACTTTGGTTTTAGTTGACAACACCATGTCCTATGGTAAAGATAGTGTCTGCTCTATATCTTGAGAACGTTATGATTTCAAAGTTTGTACTTGACATGTATATAAACCAACACCAGAGGGTGTGTCATAATTTATGAACAACTTCCTAGGTCAAAGGTCAAGGGATTAAACTTCGGTTTCAGTTGAAAACCCCATGTCCAATGATAAAGATACAAATTTTTTACCACACATTGTTCACAGCGGGGCACACAGAGGTGGCTCCAATCTCAATGATATCTAGTTTTTACTGGTACAAAAGTTATAATGAATTATGGGTATGTTAACTTATTTATAACTTTTACGTCAGTTGGTCTCTGGTGGAGAGTTTTCTCATTTGAAGTCATACCACATCTTCCTATTTATATAGTCAATCATGTATTGTGTGAAAATATCATTCTTATTCTTTCATTTTATTTTGTTTCAGGGTATCAGATTAAGTGTAAGTAATGAAGAATTCTTCGATGAAAATTTACCATCATGGCAACAATTGTACATTTGACATACAATTGTTTACAACTACTCAATCAGTATCTAGGAACAGTTTGGCCCATTAAAGTAATCATAGGAAAACAAACCCTGCAACCAATATCCACAGAAACAGAACTGAAAGTACTGAGAATATTTTATCTTCTGAAGCGTAAAAATGATGTTCGTCAGTCTGAGTTTGACATTAAGGAACTTGTATCTTCATTTCCGCTGAATGAAGATGTGCTCAGTGTTAATGACCAGGCAACTGGGTGCAATCTTCTACAGTTTGCAATTATAAATGGAAATAAAGATTTGGCTTTAAGTTTGTTGAGATGGCACGGTCATCATGATTACAAATGTTGCAGTCATCCTGTTCATCTGGCAGCATTTCAAGGAGAATTGACAATTCTACAACACCTTCTAAATAATGGTATGGACAGTAATTTTTCAGCAGGGATCTGTTATCCTAATCCTCATCAACCAGTTGCTCATAAAAAGTGGCTTTGGCTACTCGATCAACCAGTCTACAAGTGCAATATGAATCAGTTATTACCGATTAATTGGGCAATAGCAAGCGACAGGGTATCATGCTTCACATTACTTCTAAATCACATGATCACTAAAGGGGAGATAACTCCTGAAATGGTTGATCTTCTTCATTTTGCATGTCGTAAAGGAGCAAGCAAATGTATAGGGAAAATTCTTTGTAAAAATCCATCAATTGTCAATTCAATGGATGTAAACAAAGACACACCCCTTTTACTTGCAGTAGTTTGGGGAAGAGTGTGCTCAAAGACTTTGATTGAATTTGGCGCTGATGTAAAAATTGTATCCAGTATTGGAGAGACGGCTCTTCATAGACTATATCGCAATGATGTTGATGGATTATTCACAATTTTTGACACTACAAAATATTTATTGACAACTGGCCTTGAACAATTGATAAACTGCAAGAACAATAATGGAGAAACTCCTCTTCATGTGTTAGTATCACATGTATCTTACATAGGAGGGAGCCTAACACACCCAGACGAGGTCTTACTGAAATGTTCACGGCCTCAGTTACAACCAGATTACCAAAACCAAGTTGTCAATACCCTTGATTTATTGCTGAAATTTAATGCAGATCCTGGGAGTCAGAATAATCATGGACTTCACCCCTTGGGAAAATTAATGCATATAGCTCTAAAGTCTTGCATACCGGAGTATGAGCAATGCCAATGTATTAGATTGTCTATTAGTTCAACATACAGTTATAAGAATGATTATGGCCATTTATGTAGTGCCTTGAAAGTTTTGCTTCACCGAGGGTCAGACTTGAATAAATCATGTCTTGAAGGTCATACACCTTTATTTCTCATGATGCAATGTTTATTGAAAGACAACATTGAAAATTTGTGTGTACAAAGTATGGAAATAATAAACATTGTACACTTGTTACTGGAAAATGGAGCTAAAACGCAGAAATTTTGTCATGGTGGATCTACCATGTTAGCAAAAATTGCAGCTCGTTTCTTTACCATTTCTGAAAACAATTCATCCATTTTTGGTGATACAAGGCGTAAATTTTCATCACTTGTAAACTGTTTACTAGAGACGTTTCTGAAGAATGGTCTAAACCCAAATTTTGTAACAGATAGAAAAAGTCAGCATTTGCAAGGAGGCAGTGGAAATTCATTAATTGAATTTGTCCGTTTAACTGAAATGGCTGCAATACCAGAAGACTTCATTGAAATCCACACATGGCTGAAAACATTGTTTGCATGGGGTGCTGACCCGGATCTTGAACCTTATCCATCAGAACCTATCATTTGTCATTCACAAAGTTCAATATTTCTGAAAAAGCAAGACACACAAGCTGTGAGTCATTATATCCATGAAGTTAAAGACATGGATAATATATTCCAGAATGGAAATGCTCAGGAACTTCTGTTGTTATTCTACAACACTATGTCACATGATATTCTGTATAACTGTCTAAATACTGCCAGAGTTATGTCCCATTTTCATCCACTTGGTGCAACAGGAAAATCTTTCCTACAAATTCTAAACAGTCTGGCAGAAAATCCAAGAAGTTTAAAGCAAAATGCTAGAGTTGCTATTTACAAATCTATTGACAGAAATCTAGTGGAAAAAGTCCCTCAACTGCCTTTGCCTACATTGCTCAAAAATTATTTAATAGAAATATATTAAATATTCTGTTCCTGACTGAATTGGTCTTTTAAATACTATGTGTAAATATGTGATGGTTATTTGGTGTACACAGCTGGCCCAATGCAGGAACAAATCTAAATATTGTGTATCTTAAAATTAAGACATTTTCATTTTCAAGTAATGACAGAGATACTTTACAGATATAGCCTAGAAGATACATGTACTATGCAATATGTACCATCAGGGCTTTGCAATCTCTTTGTGTCCATTCTCCATTTTTGTCTTCAATGTGACGAAAGTCATAGAGACATAGGAATTACTATCCAGCAGCGGCATAAATCATTTGTATAAAGCTTTATATTTCAGAGGGTAGAAGACCTGGATGCTTCATACCTTGTAATCAGATTGCCTATGTTACTTTGTTTCCGTCTGTCATATGTCCATTGTCCTTGACTTCATTTTTATGGTTCAGTGACTGCTTAAAAGATGTTGAGTTTAGTTCAATGTTAAAGTTTATTGTGTTTTGGTCTGTTTTTTTTTTCAAATACTATATGCAATAGGTTAACTATAGTTGGTGTATAGAATGATTGTAAGGTGTACATGTCTGTCTGGCAGGTATCATCTAACCTTGACCTCATTTTCATGGTTCATTGGTCAATGTTAGGTTTTCATGGTTAAGTCCTCTTTTCATAAACTATATGCAATAGGTCAACTATATTTGATGTATAGAATGATTGTAAGGTATACATGCATAAACGGAAGATTTTATACACACAGAAGAAGAAGTATACTTAACAACAAAATTATTTTCATTTACCTGTGTATAATATGACGCAGGTTTCTTCAAAAGTGATGATTTTCTATAAATTGTTTGACATTTCACAGTGATATCATACTTTAACTTTGTTTAAACCTGTTTATTTACTTTTGACTTTAATTATTTATCCCTTGTAATTTTTTATTAACTGTGTATTTGCATTCAGGTGTCACAGGTCAAATTTATTCGTTCATTGTGTGTTAATTTACGTTTTTTGATTGAGTTCAGCCTTCCAATTGATATTTTATAGTGTTTTTTTCTATGTTGTGATGTTATACTATTGTTTCAGAAAAGGGAGAAGGTTTGGTACCATTAAAACGTTTAATCCCGCTGCAAATGTTTGCACCTGTCCTAAGTCAGGAATCTGATTACAGTAGTTGTCGTCAGTGTACAAAATCAAAAGCCTTTTCAAAATCTACAAAAGCGCAAACAAGCTTTTTCTTTTTAACACAGGGAAGTTAAAAAAGTGCATATAAAGAAAAAAAATATAATCAGTAGTAGAGTAACCATGTCGGAAGCCGGCTTGATTTTTATTTAATATATTCAATTCATCAACGAAAAAACCAAACCTGTCATTAAGAACAGATGTTAGTATTTTCCCTAAGCACGACAATAAAGTTATCGGTCTATATTTTTTTGGATCTAATTTGCACCTCTTGTTCATAAATATTGGTATCACATTACCAATAAGCCAGGCTTCCGGCAATATACCTGTATTAAAAATAAGATTAAACAATTTGATATATATATTTAATCCCGCTGCAAATGTTTGCACCTGTCCTAAGTCAGGAATCTGATTACAGTAGTTGTCGTCTGTTTATGGAGTTCATACGTGTTTCTCGTTTTTATATAGACTAGACCGTTGGTTTTTCCGTTTGAATGGTTTTACACTAGTAATTGTTTGGGGCCCTTTATAGCTTGCTGTTCGGTGTGAGCCAATGCTCTGTGTTGAAGGCCGTACCTTGACCTATAATGGTTTACTTTTATAAATTGTAACTTGGATGGAGAGTTGTCTCATTGGCACTCATACCACATCTTCCTATATCTATGTCTGTCTGGCAGGTATCATCTGACCTTGACCTCATTTTGATTGTTCATTAGTCAATGTTAGGTGTTCATTAATTATGAATTGCCAAAGACAAAATTTTAATATAACAATTGTAAGGTGTATATGTTTGTCTAACAGGTATCATTTGACCTTGACATCATTTTGATTGTCCCTTAGTCAATGTTAGGGTATCATGATTTGGTCCTATTAAATACTTTAAGTACTAGGTCATCTAAGTTTGGTGTATGGAATAATTGTAAGCTGTACATGACTGTCTAACAGAGTTTATCTGACCTTGACCTCATTGTCATGGATCTTTATCAATGTTAAGTTTATGTGATACATGTAGTAAAACCTTTAAAAGACTTCAAGGAGTGTTGGCCCCCTAAGAAGACTGGGGAATAGAATAGTCTTCAATTAGGTCTTCATCTGACGAGCAGTAAAACCCTGTCAAAATGGGACATCCGTTTGGCTGTGTGGGATGTACACAATTGCAGCCATGTCTGGTCAGAATGGGGACATTAAATATGATGACTCACTTGGCTGTGTGGGATGTACACAATTGCAGCCATGTCTGGTCAGAACGGGGACATTAGGTATGATTCCTCGTGTAAAGAGAGTGCTACACTCTCTATGCATGTGAAGAACCCGCGCAACAACTCCATCATAGGTCCATAGGTGGCCTGTTACAACTACAAGTCAAATTTTCTGTCCTTATCCAATATATCCTCATTTTCTAGTGGCAGTAAAAATTTCCCTGACCTTCATACCAGACAGCCTCTATTACAGGACATAGCTACCTATTGTATTTATTGTTAATTCGTTCTCGTCCTGAACATGCATGAAATATTTATCACTGGACGTTTACAACCAATAATCCATCAATGAAGAAATGTTGCACAATAGGAGACCTAGGGACATTGAAGACTCATTGAAGGTTGCTATAAATTTTTTGTATAAAGCTTTATATTGTGAAAACAAAACCTCTGGGTAATCCTTACATATGTCATATCTATACAGATGTAAATGTATAAATGTCCTTGACCTTATTTTCATGGTTCCAGGGGTGGATCCAGTCATTTTTAAATGGGGGGTTCCCAACCCAGGATAAAGGGGGGGGGGGGGTTCCAACTATATGTCCCCATTCAAATGCATTGATCGTCCAACCCCCCCCCCCCCCCCCCCCCCTGGATCCGCCACTGGGTTCAATTAAAGCATCAACATGATCAAAAACTGTTACTGTACCAAGCTATTGTGGTCAACTTTATATCATTATGGTAAAGAGCTCATGTTTGTCTGATAGATGTCACCTTACATTGACCTAATTTCATAGTTAAGTGATCAATGTGAAGTTCTCCTCATTACATCCGATTCTCGTTGACTATAATTTATTAGTCAGCTGGACTTTGCCTCATTTTCATGGATAATTGAAACCCAAGGATATACTGGAGTATAGAAAATTACATGAAAATATGACCATCCCTGGACTTCTCCTAGAAGTAAAATCAATATGCTTTAGAGGTCAGTCTGTCTTGCTGTGCAGGATGTAGACATATGTAGCCACGTCTGGTCGAAATTGACGTATTAATAGATATGATGCTTGTGTACGGAGAATTCTACACTGCACGTTAAGGACCATTGCAACAACTCTTTGAGGGGTTCACAGGCCAAAATGTCTGTCCCTTTCCTTTGTCCGCATATTTTCCCAGTGACCGCCAAATTCCCTGACTTCATCTCAGTCGATCCTCTCCATAATCTACCTATAATTCGATTTATTTTTAATTTGATATCAGCCTGAATATGCCTGAAATATTTGCTACTGGACGTTTGGCACACACCTAATGAATCGTGGATCATTAATAATATTTTGTTTTGATAGTGACAAGTGTCTGTAGTTAAAACATTGATTTCAAAACTTTAATCATAAAATTCAGTGAAACCAAATTAAGCAGGGGAAACCTTTCAGCATATATATGCAATCTTGTTTAAAAATGGAATGATATAAAATGACTAGAAAGGAATGTTAGGCATCTACCATCTTCTCTTCTTTGGATTTGTTGGATTTTTATGTGGGTGAGGGTATTACTTTTGTTATAAAACATACAGCCACAACTACATATTAAGTACACACAGTTGTCATATTATTGCAATAATTAACCTGACGTATTGGGAACTAACTGTTTAGAACTCTGGTCTCGCACCCATGACTGTTAAGCACATATGTTAAAAGATAGTGGACTGAAATTTCTGGAGGAAAATTCCCTTTAAGCTTACTTGACCATCCGTCGTCGTCGTCCTTCACTGTTACAAAAAGCTCTCAGAAACTACTGGGTCAATTGGAATCAAACTTGACCACAATCATCATTGTGGTTAGTCTAAAAAGAAATGTCCGTGATCCTGCTTATCGACAAACATGGCCGACATTGGGGGGGGTGCAAGTTTTGTTTAAGTTCTTTAAAATGCGATGAACAGAGGAAATCTGGCAAGGCTGAAATGCTCAGAGTGTTATAATCTACCAGAGACATGAATACACATATGTCTCTGGATCTATCTATTGTCCATTTACACAAAAACTGATTTTAATCATATTTTGGGGCTTTTTTGCTTATCTTGAATGATTGTGGTATGAGTGCCAATGAAAACCAAAATAGATCAAGAGACATTTATGGTAATATAAATGATCAGCAGGACAAGATCTACATATTTGTCAACATGGTGGAACTTGTCAATCGACTCCTTATATGAGTTATTGGCCTAAATCACGATTTTTAACAATTTTTGCATTTTTCATAAAAAATGGTAGACATTGTTGGTTGACTCCTTGTAGGAGTTATTGCCTTTTAATGATAAATTTTACCCATTTCCAATATTTGACCTAAGCTAAGGCTAGTCCGAGATTACTCTGACGTCCAACGGCTGTTTTTCCAGACAAGCTGGGGCCGTAGGACCCCAGCTTGTCTGGCAAAACAGCCGTTGGACGTCAGAGTAATCTCGGACTAAGCTAAGGCAGATAAAGAAAACTTGTAAACATCAAAAATAGAGAGCAAGACAAGATGTGCAAATATAGCAACATTGCTGAAATTGTGTGTCGACTCTATATTGGCATCATTGTCCCTTAATGATTATGTTTTCCCTATATACAAAAACTATAATAGATAAAGATCATGACCTCCCACAGTAGAAGCGAGACAACG